ATTGGTAATTTCTAGTAAACATTTAAGGAAAAAAATTCCAGTTAAATGCAAAGTTTTCTGGAAAATCAAACAAAAGCAAATACCTTAACCCCATTGTACTAATAAGACCAGTAATAGATGTCAATAGTGAAGCACATACAGGAGATTTATCAAATCTACTTGAGACGATTAGGAAAGTCTTGAATTTTCTTTCGAGAAATTATTATTGATTTTATATGAAATAAGTTTACAATATAATGGTGTACCTTGAAATGCTCAGTGTCTGTTTTATTAGAACCATATGCCACATATTCTAATCAAACAAAAGAACAAATACAAAAAGGCACCCTGAACAGAATGTCAACTGTGAATCTCTTCAACGTCCGTAATGCAGTGGTGCCTCAGTTCACGAACTTAATTCATTTCATGATTCTGGGGGACATGGCCACGTTAGTGTTTATCACCCAATATGGAGATGCAAACATTTAAAAACTTGCCAAAGGCTTCTGTTTGTGAACTAAATTGTTTGTGAACAGATGCATTTACGAACTGAGCTACCACTGTTAAGTCTAAAATCTTGATTTATCATTCCTCCAGACTCCTAAAGATTATTGTAACAATTAAGTGATTTTTTGATAGAAATTTTGTATATCTTTTATTTAATGCAAGTTATTCCAATTACCGTCTAGCTAATGAACACTTCAGCTTTAATTTGCATAATTGGTGCCAATTTTGACAAGAGGAATCTATCCTGCTGTGATAAAAGCATCATCATCATTGGATTCACCAATAGAGTGATGATTATTGAGTTTAGGATCAGCGTGGACGTCCCTCCACACAGGCAGGCAGAGAGGCCATCTGCTCATTCTCCGTTCCTGCCCCTTTCTTTTACAGAGCCTGGAACTGGACACACGATTGACTTTACTCAGCGTTAAGGCTGAAACTGGAGGTGAAACTTTCACTTGAATGGCATCTTCTGACAATCTGCACTATCTCATCTTCAAGGTGAACTACTCTTGTTTCAGATTTGAGAACATTTTTACATTATTGTCCTCCTAGTTGTGACTCTCTCAAATCTCTCTCTGTAATGTCAACTTTGTTCTTGAGCTCCAGAGCCATTTATTAAATTGCATAGTTGACATCTTCACCTGGTGCCTTGTACTACACCAGGCTTTGTTCTAAACCATTCTTATTGGATTACATCAACCTTTCGATAGCCCCATGAAGTACAAGCTATCATTCCCATGTGTACGTAAGAAAACTATCAGGATTACAAGTAAATTACAATCCACAAAGCTAGTACGGAGGGCATATGGGATTTAAATCAGATTTTACATTGCCTCCTACTTTATATCTTAAGACCAATCCATTTTAAAATTGAGTGCCTAGACTAAAGAGCGTTTGAGATCATACCTGTAAAAAAACAAAGCGAAACAACTCTTCCTGCTACCTTCCTTATATAGGTGCAAGTATTGTTTCAATCAAATGAAACAAAATGTCAGGTTTACTCTTTGCCTTCCTCCAAGCCAGCAGTGATAAACCACATCAATTAGTTTGTAAAGGCTGGGTTTTTAATTTTTTTCCTTAAATAGAGTTCAGTCTAATTTCTTGGGGATTAAAACAGTGGCTAAGTAAAGGCAAATATCAGGTAAAATTATTATAGCACATGATCATCGTTCCACACCAGAGACTCCTACATGGCAACAGGAATGATTCAGAATGATTATGTAGGCACAAAAAATTAATCCAAATCATCAAAACACTTTTCTGTATTTTTATCTGTCTCACAAATGCACACCTAAATATTACATAAAACTCATAGGTTCATGAAATACAACTAAACCTAGTTGTTGGGTTAAGGAATCAGAGAAGAAAACAAAGCTAACATTTTTGTCTCTTATTTAACTCTGTAAAACCTGTTTTCCTCCTGGAATATCTGTATGGATTAAATGTGATGTAATGAAATCAGTGCTAACAAGGTTTCCCATATAGCACAATTAAGCATATGTTTCAATAAAGCACAAGTTTGCTATTTTTTTTATTGATTTGGATAAGTTAATCTAAGAGTCCTAAGCACTAATGAAAAGAAAGTTGCCATTATTAGAGCTGGAGAAATATGTGGAAACAGGGAAAAGTACATTTGAAAAGGGTTCAGAAACTTATCTTGAAATCAGAGTTTGGATCTTCAAGGGAGCTTCAAGAACTTGACATTTGTGTAGTCCTGACAGTGTACTAGGAAGTGTGCAAGATACTTAACATGCAGTGGAAACCATCCCCCTAGGATTTTCCCTGTGCCGTGGGTCTATGCCGTGTTCAGAACAGTGCTAGTTAAGACGCCTGTGATATTGTAGCTTTTTGTTCTTATTCCCCTTTGTGAACAGACTTAAGAATGTTACATAACTTGCACAGGATTTCACATGTGACATTTAAAAATTCAACCTCGGTTTACTTGATTCCGACGAACATGTTCTCAAACCCTACGCAATGTTATCATCGACATTCCTAGACACTCCCTTATCAGACAAGTGAAATCAAAGAACGGGTTCTCTGGAAGGAATGTAAAGAAAATTTTCACTTCTAAATTTTGGTTCTGTAAAGTACTACTTTTATGATCATTGTAGGTCTCGTATCATGGGCTTCTGTTTCTTAATGAGTGTAGTGAGTGATAAAATTTCTAATCCGTCTGGCTTTCAGTGAAGGTTACAGGAAACAAAACTCTTTATTATATTATTTTAGAAGATTGGCGGCTTTACCACACTGTCTTCTTGGCATCTAGCAGAATATTATAGACACTTGAGCAATGTCTGCAGAATGAATAATGCGTGGATGAGTGAGTGACATTTACAGGGCATCACGATCCATGTGCCTATCACAGTGTGCTTTTCACACCCCAAGAGTGAGATATATCCCTGCATTACCAGGGTTCCTGCTTATCTGTTTACTTCTGAAAGAGTCCTGTTGTGAGATAATATTAATAATGCTTCACCTTGCAGTTTTAAAAGCATATCATGCCAGAGGACATAAAGGAACTGAGCGTTCTGAACTAGGACAAGAGAAAATAACCTGTTAATCCAGAATGAAAGAACACAGCTTCTGTATCGCATTTACTGGAGATACTGAGTGGACTCTGATTTTGTAAGATAATGCGTGGAATAATATGCTTTTTAAAACTGCCCACCTATTCAGAGCTCTACTCGGAACGGATCCCTTAGTCTAAAGGTGAAAGAGACATTCGTGTGGTAGCCAGGTATGATGAAAGAAGTGTTCAGAAATACTTGCGTGCAAATGGCCACACAGTTATGCCCAGAAAAACAGAATGTGAAAAATGCTATTATTGTCTTCGGAAATGAGTCTTTAAATTTAACCCACACTATTAGAAGATATTTGTTTGTTGCCTTTTCTGTCAAATATAAGGACAAGGATACTGAGCCTGATTTTACTTTTTGGCTTATGCAATTTAAGAAGTCATTTTATTCTGTTTACATGTACATGTATATGTGTGAGCTTTTCAAAATTACATACAATACAGCAAGCAGTCTTTTTTCAGGAAAAGCAAAGTTTCAAATATGTGACTTCTACTGAACCTTTTGCCTGGTGGGCCTGGCATATTAGGCAGCTGCTCACAATATTTTGTTCTTTCCCAGCACTTTTGCATCGGACCCTTTACTATGGACTCTGGTGGAGGGCTTTTTGGGCCAACCAGGTTTGGGTAGAATCAAAGATATGCGTGTTCCAAGCCTATGTCTTCAGAGTATAGTCACATTTATTAAGTAAAGATACAGGGTGCCTAGTTATATGTGAAATACAGATAAACAACAATAGCTCAGCATGAGTGCACCACGTGCAGTATATGAGGGATTCTTACACAGAGATATAATCACTGTTTATCTGAATTTCAAAGTTATCAGGCATTTTCTTCAAGAAGCTCATTAAATCAGCTTTTCTTTGCATATTTGTCTCCCACATGTTGGTGCGCCACCCACAGACAGCCATGTTAAGGTCCTCCCCATTCTTACTTTATGTTCACGCTCACTACACAATCACGGGATCATATATGTCCCAATTGTTTTCTTCTTACTATCTGCTGGAACCTCTACTTGACAAAGAGTAAGGCCTCCAAATATGCTCATTGAAATTTTCATGAAATACTAATGAAAAATGGTGCAGTCTCTGCTCACATCTGAAAGCCTGAAATGGCCACCCTGACCCCTCTTTTGACAGTACCAGAAATTCACGTAACTGTCCCCCACAGTACAGGGAATCCATATATTTCTTTGTTAATGTCAGAAATCTAATGACTTATAAAGTATTTTATAAGGTAAAAATTTAAGTATTTTAACATATGACTGAAGTGATTTTTACTTTTGTTGTAATCAGTGTTCTCTGCTATAATTCTTTAAAAGAAATAGTTTTTCTTTGAAGAAAACATCATCAGATCACTTGAATATTTATCTCTTTGATCTGTGATTGCCCTTTGTATTTAAGGTAGAGACACTAACAGTTGCATGGATGAAGGGGTGGGGAGAGAGGAGTAGAGAGAGAGAGTCTAAGAATATGAAACAACAAAAAACTAATTAAAAAAGGTGGGGGCTGGGTATGCTTTGATTCTTGGTTCTCTTCAGAGATTTGTTTGAAAGGTTGCAACCAAGGTTACCCCCAAACCACCTTATTACTCAAGAAAAATATTATATTTGAATTTATTCCTAGTGGTGAGCAGTGAATCAATATTTGTCAAATTAAATCGAACTGAGTTGAATATCCATTCCTCCTGAAACTCTTGTCCAGCGTTTGTGTTATTGCTTCTGGGAGAAAAAAAGAGCTAAGTTTAAAAATCTCACTGAATAATAACAGTTGTATTTCCAAATACTTTCTCTATCCTGTTTTCCCACGTCCTCCTTCCCGCTACCCATAGACATTTTTCTGACTTTGTTTACCAGTCTCCCATGTACAGCATTGGAAAATGGGGCCAGGTCACGGATGGAAGGGCAGAGCTTGGGCCGTGCACCTGATGTATTCAGCTCCTGTTTTCCAGAGTCAGTCAGGTGTGTCCAGCTGGCTTAGCACAAAAGGAGACTCATTAATACAACATCGCATCGTCATCAGGGGATGGAGACTCCGACAGAAGTGAAACTAAGCAGTCATAGTGAGTGTTCCATAGATGCCATGTGGAAAAGCAAGATCAATTAGGACTGAGCATTCCTCAGCATCTTACAGGAAGCTTTTCATCCCAGTAAGCAGAATGTGTGTTTTCCTTATAGCTCACCTTATAGTCTAATTCCTTTATTTATTAACTTTATTGGTACATTTTGGGTATACAGTATAATGACATTCATCTTTGGAAATGTGCACCTTCGCATGATCCATCTCGGTTCTTATTTCTTCCCCTTTCCCCTGCCCTCTCTTCACCCCCTCCACCCCTCCCTATTTATAAAAACTTTGTTTCCATTTTTTCCTTTTCTCATATTTCTCCCATTCCCTGTTTTCCTTCCCCCAATCTCTCCCATTTCCCCTGCCCCTTTGGACCTTTTCTTCCTATTTCACAATATCTATTTGCCTTTTGATCCTTATTTACAGTTTTTCACATCAGAGAAACTATTCGGGATTTACTCATGTCTGTCCTATAGCTAAATGGATGCACACAAAGGCGATATTCCAATTCTCTTTAGCTGCGTACAGTTATTTTACACACAAAGGTAGGCAGACTATAATGTTCAAGTTTCGTTTTGTTTTGAGACAGGGTCTCACTAAGTTACCCAGGCTGGTCTCTAACTCTCGATCTTCCCACCTCACCCTTCAGAGTAGTTGGGATTATAGGCAAGTACCTTTGCATCCAGCAAAATCTAAATATTTTGAAGTGAGTCACGAAGTAGAAAATGTAGGATGTGATATTCACAAATGCCAGTTTTAAAAACCTGATTTAAATAAGGGCTTGCCAATTTGCTACATAATTTACTGAAGACATCTTGGCCACAATTGTCTAATTATGAAATGAACTCTCCTTCACACCATCCCTACCAGCAGACATGGTCAGTGAAGTGGGGAAGGGAGCTAATTCTAAAGCTAAATTGAATAAGAAAAACAAAACACTTAGGCTTAAAATGTCTGATGTCTAGAACATAACTCACATCAATAGATTTTCCAAATTTCCAACTCATGTCTCTGGTCTGGCCTCCAACAATATGATACTCATTAATCTTAACTCAGTTCACTAAGATTATAAAACCCAAGGGCTGGGGATTTAACTCAGTGGCACCACACCTTCCTTGCAAGCGCAAGGTCCTGAGCTCAATCCCTGGCACCAAAAAAGAAACACAAAAGAGTATAAAACCCAGAAATTATCTTAGGACTCTGAAGTGAGCATCATCGTACGATACTATGATGGTTAGTCAGCGTCAGAACGGTGCCAGTGTGAAAGAGGATGGTCCAATATGGCACCTTAGAACATGACTCTTGGTTTTGAATATTGGCTTGACCAGTTACCAGCTTGGACTACCTTCTTAAATTTTGCTTAAAACTCATTGTTAATTTGTATGTTGGATAATAATGTATCTGTTTCACATACGTTTTGTAAAGATTGTATGACTCACAGTAAAGTACTTAGAACCCTGATATGCAATAGGAAACCAATCATAGACATTATTGACTGGTTTTGTGGACTTGAGAATGTTATTTAGCTGCACGGATTCATTTTCTTCATCTGTCATAAGGGATGGCGTTGCCTACATTACAGATTGACTGTGGGATTTAAATAAAGTCTTCCTTGACAGTTTGTCTTAACACAGAAAAATAACAATACAATTTTTGGCACAGCATTTTAAAAAGTGGCTGTTCTTATTATGGTCTTTTGTTTTACATGGTAAATATTCAAAGACTATGAAAGGAGATAGTATGTGTGAAAGCTCTTTCAACATATTTAGCAAATAAGGACATCCAAAATAGAGAAAGGAATGAGCTATCCAAAAATTCAATCAGTTTTGATAACTCGCATGTATCAGGGACAAAATTGGGTTTTCCTAAAACAAGAGTATTCTTTTTTAGGTTCACTAAAATGTTATTAATATTTTATATTATATATTAATTTTGGATATGTTGTAAAACTTGGGAAGGAAATGTAAATAAATATGCCTGATTAATTTATTCTTACTACATTGTGTGTATGATATGGGAGATTATTAATACTGACCCCTTTTTATTTTTTATTTTAGGATGGCTAACTGAATTTCCCAGTTTCCCACACTGATCTCAAACATGTGCTCCTCTTGCCTTAGCTCCTGAGTAGGTAGCCTCATTTATTCAATCTTACTTTAACAGTGCATGGCTTAGCAACATAAATACTAATTCTGGCTTTATTTCTTAATTTATTGGTTTTATTAATTTTTATGGCTTATTTTTATTGCTGTCATAGCAGAAAAGATTTATAAATCCAAATAGTAGCAAGGTAGCATTGACTACTTGAAAAACTATCACACAAAAAATTTAGCTATATCAATTATGCAAAGCCTATGTTGAACTTTTTCTTATCCTTCTCTGTTCATGGTTATTTATGCAAAATGTTACAATTTTGAAATGTATTAAAAATACTCCAAATCCCCATAATGGATGTAACTGTACTATATACCTAAAATGTGCCAAGAAACTCAACAAAATATTAAAAAGTCCTCCAAAATACAATTTGTGAAAATTTTAATAAATTTAAAAGTGTATTTTCAAAGTTTTAGAGTCTATAGACATGAATATTTTTATGGATGATATATCTCATTTTTGGCAATAACTCATAAGGATTGAAATAATCCTAAGCATTTGTTTTTTAAATGCTCTCTCCACACAAGAATTTATTTCAAAAAGCAATTATTTTCCCACTTATTGCTGAAACTTCACTCCTACCTTGAAGGAATGGATTAAGAGGGGATTTTTGTTGTGCTTGTTTGCTTGTCTGTTGTTACCTTCAGATCTGATAAATAGCAGATACCTAAGAGACACTGTCAAGCTGGAAAAGATCAGCTAATTTGGATAGTTGTCATTGGTAAAATAAAAGAATATAATTCGCTTTTAGGTCAACAATTGTTTGGGCTGTATTGCCAAAAGATAGTGGAGAAAATCTTGTGAGTCAGAATGTAGAGCCAATTTCTATTTTATCACATTGTATTGCAAATATATTGCTATCTTGAAATCTGTATTTTTAATACAACTAGCCACGTGATAATAGCCCATAAATGTAAAACATGGCATGGTACAATCCTACCCAGTAAGAACACAACTAACAACACCTCTGTCTTGTAGAGTTTTCATTTTGGAAGAATCATTTTCTGATATGAAGCCACAGTGAGATGCTCGGATTTTTTATGTAATGAATATTACTAAGCTTAACTTCTTCCTCATGTTTATATCATAAATAGCTACTCTATACTTCCTCCTTGAACCTAGTGGATCATCTAGCACATGCCCAGTTATGTGGCCTTCTCCTTAGACACTGCTGTAAAAACTGCAAATTTTGTTTTAATTAGTGTAGCAAAATCAGCCAAAGGTAGAATGACCAGAGTTGGTTAGTGCTTTGGCGTTAGGTGTATAGAAAAAGGCTATCTTTGACACTTGCTTTGTGACAAGTTCTTTGGTAAATATTTTCACATTGATTATTCTTTTCCTGCCTAGCTTAAAAAAAGAAAAAGGAAATTCTCAGGGTATACCTATGAAGTCTTATAAAGTAGCTATTAGCCACATGCGAATATTTAATGTTAAATCAATTTGAATACAGTAAAAATGTTGGTTCCTCGATTGTGCTAGCCACAGGGGAAACCATGGGTCTGGTGATTGCTATTTTGGATATGGTGGATTATAGAACGCACCCATTGCTTCATCCATCTGCTGTTGCTAGAAGGTGCTGACATCTTCTCAGCACTCGTGAGGCCTTCATACTGATCCATGTGCTGCAAAACAGCAGAACAGCAAGCATCCTATGCATAGGAAAAGTAAGAGATGGGAACAGGGGATGCCAGGCTGGCTTCCTGACAACCTGCTCTCACAGTAACCCGCCCACTTTTGAGGGAACTGTGTTAATCCCCTCAAGAAGGTGGAGCTTTACGACCTAACCACCTCCTAAAAGCCCCACCATTTCTCAGTACCATGACACTGGGGCCCAGCTTCAGCATGAGCTTTGGCTGTCACCGATCACCTCCACATCATAGTCCCCATCCTTTCAGGAAGTTATCACTGCACAGCGCTAGTCTGGACTTTGAGTTCTGGAGAGGCACGGCGCAGATCTCCTTCATGCCTCTGATACTATTAAAATTCTAAACAAATGCTTCATTTTCATCTGTAGCACAGTAGAACAGAGACCTTAGTCAGTCAAGTACAATTAGAACTCTAATAACGCTAGTGCATTTTGTAGGACTTAATTTTGGGCCAGGTATTGTGTTAAATGCCGTGTAAAGTTTTATTTCATTATTATCACAAGAGGTCTATGAATGAAATTTATAGAGAAGCAAGCAACCCAAGTGGTAAGCTTGATAAACAGCAAAGTTGTGACTTGAACGCTGGAGCTGGGCAATTAAGGAGAGCTGTGTTTGGCAGCGTCATGGGCCCTGCATACCAAGAAGGGTGGTGAAGAGTCAGGCGCTCATTCTGAACACAAAGCTTACGGAAATGAATGTATCAAAAATCTCAGTCATCATGATGCATTATTTTTTAAAAATCAAAAGTAAGGGCCAGGGATTTAGCTCAGCGGTTCGGTGGCCTGCCTTGCAACCGCAAGGACCTGAGTTCAATCCCCGGTACCAAAAAAAAAAAAAAAAAAAAAAAAAAAAAAAAAA